TGAGGAAGCAAGTTCAACTTTGAGAAAGAGGAGGCTAAAGAAAACAAGACAGATATGCCACAGAACGTGGTGCTGGACGGGTCAGCCCCTTGGGGATTTCGGCTTTCAGGAGGCAAAGATTTTAACCAGCCGCTGACCATAACTCGGGTAAGTGAATGCCTTTGGCTAAAGTCTGCTGCTTCACACATTCCACTCAGAGATAATGATGCTTTTGATGTGCTGGGTAACACTGCCGTGGGCATGAGAAACCAGAGGGGTGGATCATAAAACAACATTCCCAGGACCTCACTTTAGATGTAACTGAGGAGTGCATAGAGAAAGATTTCAGATAAATATTTTTTTTAGAGCCACAAATTCAAACTGACATTCATTTTTAGAAACATCTGTGGTTGTCAGGGAATCATTTCCCAATAGAGACTTTCTATGTTAGATATAATTACCCAGTTTTTATCTTCATGTCATTGTGATTTACTCTATTATTGCATTTTAAGAAATTAATACTTGTATTCACCAAGGATGCATTATATTTATCAAAAGTAAAAGACATTTAAAATGTTACAATTGTTTTATTCAAATAAATGCTGTTCTTTTGAACTTTAAGATGTTTTCCATAGAAATATTAGGCAGCACGACTCTTTTTAGTATTGATAATAAAAAGAAATATTTCTTGAGCATCAAATCAGCATATTAGAATGATTTCTGAAGGATCACGTGACACTGAAGACTGGAGCAATGATGCTGAAAATGTAGATTTACCATCACAGGAAAAATTTGCATTTTAAAAATATTCTGAAATAGACAACAGAAAACGGTTTCATATTGTAATAATATTTCACAATATTACTGCTTTTACTGTATTTTTCAAATGTAGCCTTTTTGGTGAGCATAAGAGACTTCTTTCAAAAACATCTTCAAAACATCTTACCAACCTCAAACTTTTGAATAGTGTATATGATTTGAATATCATAATTTCAGTCTCCTGTATTAGTCTCTCCAGATGTCTAACGCTGTAATTAATTAGCCAAACTTTACAGATTTCATAATAAAAATAGCATACTACCTCCCATGGCATCATGGTGTTTTTGAATTTGAAAACACAGATTATTCACAGCTCATCTCAGTCATAAATGTGGCTATGTATTACGGCTGTAACCAAAAGTGTATATTATGTGAACTGTTAGGCATTTTCTCTTCCAGTTACTAACATGCTCACAAAAACACAGACACAGACACTCTCTCACACACACACACACACTCACACACACACACACACAGATTCACACACACAAGCACTTCAACAGAGATTCAGAGTCATTGCATTTCTGTGTGTGTGCCATTGCCTTTTTCTGATGCAGGCGTGAGAGCCATGAAACTGCGACACTTCTCCTCTGAAACAGACAGACAGACAGACAGACAGAAATCAACACCATTCCACATTAAAACAGAAGTTCCACTGGAACAGAGAGGAGAAAAACACAAGAGGATTCCTTCAGAAAATAACCACAAACAAACACATCAAACTACCACGAGCTCTCTCTGTGTTCATGAGATGATGCTTGCTCACCTCGTATCCTGATCAAAGCCTTCACACGCGTCACACCACGCTTTATTTCCCCGACAAACAGCAGAAAACTACTTTGTGCGACAGGTGAAGCGACATGAACTAAACCTGATAAGCATGATCTCCAGCAGAATCTGAAAGAGCATCTTAAACTTCTGTAGTCACACGATCACTGACACTCACTCACATCTGATTAGTACCATAGAGCATAAATCCTTCAAGTGTCATCAAGTTCCTGTGTTTTACAGTTATTAAAGACCCAACACATCCTATAGATCACAGAATATTTCATACGCTCTCAGAAATCTCACTTGATTCATTTTTGTAATGTTTAATATGCATGTCGTGCAGCTTCATTCTCGAGCTGTATGAAAACCAGCACAGCTGAAATAATCCTCTTTAGAGAATCTCTCTCAATCTCTCACACAAACACATACGGAGCAGATCTAACACATAAACCTCTCCGTCACGTAATTAATCTCATCTCAAGAGAAGCTAGGAACCGATGTGCCTCTGCGAGACGTCGGCGGGAGGAGCGTCAAACATGCTCTGGTACTGACTGATGGCATGTTTAGCCACAGCGTAAACCAAGGGGACCCCAAAACCCTAAACACACCCCTGGATGTACAATATACCTTTCCATCTTCTTCTGAAGACCACGGGAAAAACCCCTAATACCTGCCTGGCTTTAAGAAGAACCTTAACAGTATCACAAAATGTTCTTGGTGCTACTGTAAATGAATCATTAAGGTCACAACACCTTCAAGATGAAGACATGAGAATGATTGAGTGAGCTCTCACCCGAGGCGTCGGTGAAGATGTTCTCCTCACAGGTGGTCCAGAGCCCCGCGTGGAAGGAGGGGAAGATGAAGCGATCGTCTCCGGTCTCCCAGGAGAAGGAGCCGTCGGAGACGCCGTGCACCGGAGTGCACCTGAGCCGGCGAGACGGGGAGCACAGCGGCTTGGGGACCTTCTGCCGGCCCACACACCAGTGAGAGGACGAGAGAGAGACCAGAGACAGCAGCAGAGACAGCAGCGTCTGCAGGAAGGACAAGCGTGGAGACCGCAGGACCAACAGAAGAGACATGCTTCCGAGGAAGAACCAAAGTCAACCAAAGAGGGACGTTTTTATCATCTCTACCTCATAAATCACCTGAATCAGACTCACCTTACTAAAGCAAACGCTGGATTTCTTTCCCTTGATAGTTTAGGTGTCACACACGTATTTTCAGAAACAATGAAACGTGACATCCAGCAGCACTGACTGAGTCTCATTGTGTTTGTGACTGACACACACACACACACACACACACACACACACACACACACACACACACTCACACACACACACACACACACAACTGACTGAGTCTCATTGTGTTTGTGACTGACACACACACACACACACACACACACACACACACACACACAGGATTAACCTGCGCTCTAATCTGTCAATCTGTTCTAGCTCAGTGACATGAACTCCCACTGACACAATGATCTTGACTCACTTCTAACACACACACACCGCAGCTGGATGTTAATGTATTTAAAGCAGAGTGTGCTGTTCACCAGAGAAGCGCAGACTTACCCATGATACGCATCTACACTCACCCTTACATACAGGGTCAGGTCACCCAAAAGTCATTGTGTCATCATTTTCACTCAAACCCTTTCTTTCTTCTGTGGAGACGATGTTTTCATACAGTGCTGTCAAACACAGACAAGCTAGGGACGAGGAGTGACGCAGAGGAAATTTTTGAGGGTGAGTGTGTGTAAGTGGATTGGTTAAGAGTGTGGGGTGTTTGCAGAAAAGGTGTGTCTTTATCTGCTTCTTGAAAGATATGATGGTCTCAGCAGCTCATTCCACCGGAGAGGAACAGAGAGGGTGAAGGGTCTGGAAACACACCTTGTGCCTCATTGCAAGGGAACAAGAAGGTGTCGCTCATTCACAAACCTGAGCTGATGTGAGGAAGCATTCATTGGCAGTAGTGAACTGAGGTAGGGAGGTGCTAGTACAGCGGTCGTCCAGTGCTCAAAGCTGGGAGTGAATGGAGTGCAATCAGGAGGGTGATTTGGCTGACTGAAGACCAGACGCTGAGCTGAGCTACTTTGATGGTCGCAGAGAGCATCTGTGAGTCAGCTGACCTAGAGGTGAGAGGTCAGATATCATCAAGACAAGACATTAATGTGGTGCACAGAGCGTAGCATAGCTTCACTGACATCCAGAGAAGGGGTTCGTTGGGGGAGGGATGTAGAGACCACACAGGAGAAGTGTGTAGGAGAGAGAGAGTGAGAGAGAGAGAATTTTTTTTTTGTGAATTTTAACAACACTTTATTTTGCCTTCTTCAAATGGCAATTAATACAGATATAAAAATGTATATAATAAAATTAACAACACGCACATTAAAGAAAATTTTCAGAAAAAGACAACATTTCTCCATTAACAGTACACATTTTCCCATTTAGGCTCCAAATCTCTTTAAAGCCTTCAACATTGTCCATTAATCTATAATAATTAAATTCCAAATGTATTCTAGCTCTTATTATACATTTTAAAAAACAAGAACATCAATATTATTATTTTGTTCCATTTTCCTTTTTCTTGTTGCATAAATTATTAATTTAGCTTGTCCCAACAGAAAATTTAAAATTTTACAAATATTCCTCTTATTTTTCCCAATTTTCACTCCAAAAATAAAACAAACATCAGAGAACATTTCTCCAAACAAATTAAACAATTCTTTCAAAAGAACAAATAAAGGCAACAATCGTTCACACCTAAGAAAACAATGAAAAATAGTTTCTCTACAATTACAAAAAGGACAGGTATCAGTAATTTCAGAATTTATAATAGACACAAAAGCATTTACCGCAATAATACCATGCAATATTCTCCACTGAATATCTCCAACCTTTTTGGTCAATGGTGGCTTATAAATTGCTTCCCATACTGGCGTTATCTCATCTTTTACATCCAGATATTTCCTCCATGGTGTATCAATCCTATTTTTTAATTTTCCTTTATTCAGCACCTTGACACAAAAAGAATAAATACTTTTCCCTCCTACAGAATTAAAATCTGTAAAACGAATATCATTTTAAAAAAAACCTGAAAAATCTTGAAAGTCCTCTTCATCCATTTTCGGTCTCACTCCCATACTTGGAAAAAAATCAGTACATTCAGGCAATTCCGAACCTTTCATCCAGTGACCAAAATAATGAGGATTTTTTTGTAAACAATCTTCTCCTTTCTACAACACTCCATGCTCTAAACACACTACAATAGAAAGAAAAAAATCCTCTCACATTCAAAAAATTGGTATCCAGAAGAAAGATTGTTTGTTTCAAACCCAAATTTCCAACCTGTCTTAAAATACGCCCAGCTAACACTCGCCATGGAGTTTCCAAACTTCCATATAAAAACTTTTGCACAAATTGTATTCTAAAAGCAGCTTTCCTGCTTACCAAATGAATCAAACCTTGACCTCCAAATTCTCTTGATAAATATAAGACACACTGCGGTATCCAATGCATTTGATCCCAAAAAAAATCAACAAGCATTCTTTGTACTTTTATTAACAAATCGATTGGAGGTTCTAAAATTGCTAATTTGTGCCACAACACAGAGGCTATTAAATTGTTAATAATTAAAACTCTACCTCTATAAGACAAACATGAGTGGAGCCATTTCCATTTTTTTAATCTTCCTTCAACCATTTCTAAAATTCCATTCCAATTCTCTTTTTCTATGAGCTCATTCCCTAAATGAACACCTAAATATTTAAAACCTCCACTGGTCCAATTTAAACCACCTGGCAATTTAGGTTTTTCTTCCCTCCAGTCTCCTACTAATAAACCTGAACTCATTTTCCAATTGATTTTAGCAGATGAAATTATGCCAAATTCATCTATTATTGAAGATGTTTTATTAACGTCATCTTGATTTCTAATAAAAACAACAACATCATCTGCATAAGCTGAAGTACACACAGGTATAAAATTATCATCAATTTTTAAACCTTCCAATTCATTACGAAATCTGTTCAACAAAGGTTCAATGGCTAAAGTGTACAACATGCCCGATAATGAGCAACCTTGTCTTATCCCTCGATTTACCTTAAAAGATGCACTTAAGCCACCACTGACCTTCAGAACACTCTCAATACCTCCATAAAGAGCTTTAACCATATTTAAAAAAACTTTAGAAAAATTAAAAGCCTCCATTGTACTCCATAAATATTTGTGCTCCACTCGATCAAAAGCCTTCTCTTGATCCATCGAAAAAAGGCCAAATTTAAATCCAAACAAGTTAGAAGTATTAAGTAAATCTCTTATAAAAAACATATTATCAAAAATCGATCTGCCTGGAACACAATAGGACTGATCACTATGTATCACATATTTCATTGCCTTCTTCAACCTATTTGCCAAGGTTTTAGATAAAGCCTTGTAGTCAGCACATAACAAAGCAACAGGTCTCCAGTTTGTTATATCTCTTAAATCCCCTTTTTTTGGTAGCAACGTCAGCACTGCTCTTCTGCAGCTCAACGGGAGCTGCTCTTCAGCAAAACTCCCATTAAAAACTGCTAACAAATCAGACCCCATTATGCTCCAAAAAGTTTTGTAAAACTCTATGGGGATTCCGTCAATTCCCGGAGCTTTACCATTGGCCATACTCATCACAGCTGAGTATACTTCAGGCAATGACAATGGTTGTTCAAGTACAGCATTTATTTCAGCTGACACATGTGGAAGACCTTCAAAAAAATTATGTGTGACATTCATTCCTTCTTTATATTCAGAGGCATATAATGCTGAATAAAATTCAACAGTTCTCTTCCGTATTTCAGAAGGCTCTGTCAAATAATTTCCATCATCATCCCACAATGAATGAATTAATCTGCTTTGTCCGTTTTTTTTCTCAAGACCAAAAAAAAAACTGGTTGGTGCATCCATCTCATTCAAATTCTGAAAACGTGATCTCACTAATGATCCTTGTCCTCTAATTCCAAGCAGCTCTGTTAAAACATCTTTTTTCTTTTTTATAGACTGCATAAGGCTTTGATCTTGAGTTGAATCACTTAAAATCTGGAGTTCTATTATATCAGATTCAACATCTTCAATTAATTTAACAATATTTTTAGAGGCATTAAGAGTGTACTGTTTACAAAATAGTTGAATATGAACTTTGCCCACATCCCACCACTGTTGAATTGATTCAAAATTCCTTACATTCATTTTCCATTGTCCCCAAAAAAACATAAAACCTTTTTTAAAATAATTATCATTTAACAAAGAAACATTAAAATGGCAGTATGCACTTCTTACTTTAAGGGAATTAATAAAAACCACTCCACATACCAATCCATGATCTGAAAAACTAACTGCAGTGATAGCACATGATTTAAAAATCTGTAAATGATGTTTATAACAATATATTCTATCAATCCTAGCCATAGAAATATAGTTTTCTCTATAATGGGCCCAAGAGTATTGTCTAAAATCTCCATGTTTTTCACGCCATACATCTGCTAACTCAAATGTTTCCACAATACTTGAAAGTTTATTTCTTGAAGCCATATGTGGTTCAACATGATTTCGGTCTAAATTATTGATTGTACAATTAAAATCTCCAGCTAAAAAAAGAAAATCTGAATCACATCCTACCAAAGTACTAGCCAATTTTTCTAAAAACAACATTCTTTCTTTTGCAAAAACAGGAGCATATACAATGATCAAAATTATTGTTTTTCTTTCATATTTTGCAGTAACTTTAATTAATCTTCCTGCAATAACTTCATCTACCTCATAAGATAAAGGTGCAAAGGACTTTGAAAAAAGAATGGCTACACCAGCACTAGTGGAGCTTTTATGACTCATTATAACAGTCCCATCCCATTCTCTTTGCCAGTCAGTTTCATTTTCTATACACGAGTGGGTTTCTTGTACAAAGGATATATCGATATTTTTTAATTTAACGAATTCATAAAAAGAAGTTATTTTCTTTACATCACGTGCTCCATTTAAATTTGGTGAGGAAATCTTGAACTCAGCCATAATTAGAAATGTTATGACTACTAAGACAAACCTCACTCCATGACAAATCCATCCATTATTGTGATCCGTCCAATTCATCTTTTTTCATTTGTGTTTTTATCTTTTGTACTAATTTTTTAAGACGATATATTTCAGTCTCAGCAAGACCATCTCCTCCCACAATTTTCATCACCTCTCTTGCAGATTCAATAAAATTAGCTAGATTTGGAAAAAAATCATCAACAACCACATTTCTTTTTCCTTTTGTTACTTG